CTCAGGTTGTCGAAATGTTAGTCACCACAACTGACAAAGACTAGACGATTGCATGTTATCCTAGGATTCAAACCATTTAATGTTAATTTGAAAGTTTATATCAATAGCTTCTTAGTTTTAACCTCCTTTTTCGCAGTGTTTTCCCGCGTATCCCGCTTGACACAAACAAAAGTAACCCTGATCTGTCAATCCACTCAGGCATGTTGCATAATTGTGGCAAATGTTCATCCAGCACTTGTTCTGGTGCAAAAAAAAAAAAAGTAGAAAACTGTCACTTAAAAACAAACTGACAAACAAAAATATTGCCTTTGTAACGTAATATCTTCCGGCTTTACCTAACCTCAAGAACACACTGATGGGGAAATGGCGCCATATTCTTTACCAACGCACTTAATCACAACGTAAAAGAAAGTTATTAATTAATATCCTTGTCAGGTAGGAGGCGAAAATCGCTCGCAAATAGCAGGAGTCGTGCAGACCTGTCTATACTTCAAGTTTTCAGTTTTCATTTAATTGCTTCTTTAGACCTGCAACCAGCACGAAGCTTGTCGACGCTTTCATGCGGCAAAATCTGAGCAAAATGGCTATTAGTTAGACCTTTGATGCCGGGACTGTCCTTCCTGTCATTCCACAGGTTGAAGCTTTTCGTATAATCTGTGGCTTTAGGCTTTTCATATAAAGGTAATGGAGATGATATCGTCGGTCCCAGTAACAAACAAAATTTTCTCAAGAAAACTGGTAGAAACCAGTAATTTAACGACCCAGAACTAACCACATATAATTTCAGAAGACTACAGCGACAATTTAAGACCTCAAAATATTTAAATTGCTCGGATGCATTTGGATGATAGACCACAATGACACAATAGAAATTTCACGAATTTAGATGGCATAAAAAATGGCGGACTAAGCGCGCAATGTCTTATGGTTGACTTTGATATTATAATGAAGGCACGGTTACAATTTTTGAAAACGAAAGCGTTCCTCGAACCCATAACCACTTTTCAGTTCACATGATTCCTGGAACAATTTCAGTATCGGATGATTTTATTTTTTCACGATAAAATTGATCTGGTTCTCCCATTAGGCTTTGTAATATTCTAATGACCCCCTCCCTTCCACATTGGCAGTTAACAGTCCCCCCCCCCCTCCTTTATACTCCGTCTGAGACAATTGATCCCCCCTTCATTCCCCCTGAAAATTACGTGATCCTCCAAAATCCTCCGCACCCAACCCCTCCCACCCTCCTCCCCTCTTCCCAATGCAATAAACAAAGGCTCGTCCCTCAGAACAGCGAAAGGCTCCAGCGAAAAAGATGCAAATACCTACTTCGGTTCCCGTATACACAGAGCCTGCCACCTTCCTCAGATCCTTAGGGTGTTGCATGTGGTCCGAATCACTAAGCTGGCATAAAACTGTGTCTTTTACCGCGGGCCGTACGTTGATCGACTTGCATCTATCCTCCATGACACATCGATTTCTGCAGTGGGAGAGTATAAGACTCCCCACAAAAAGGGTAATATTTGCGATAACATGACCCACCAATTCATGTCCACCGATTTGTTCCAAAAACTTTACACGCCTGATATCTACAAAAAGAGATATGAGAATATTAGCCTTAATATACTACTGTAATTCTCATACCTTTCAGCATAAATCTATCAGCATTTAATCACAGGTGGAGCAATCTGATTGGCTATGCTATTTGGTACCAATTTCTTGATTGACAGATAGTCAGGTGAGCCGGCCTGATTAACTTCGTGTGGTGGTAAACAAAATAAAGTGAAATTTTGAACCTGTCTTGTTGTTAAGAGTTGAACAAGTGATAGATTCATAGAAAGACAACTAGATTATTTGTTCCCAATTAAAATTTCTGTGTGTGATATGAACTGAATCTGAGACTCTCAATCCAGCCTTACTCTGTAACTCCACTAAAGCTGAATAACAATTTAAGAATGCTGTTGCTAAATCAAGTCCACTTTGATTGAACACAAAAGTGAGGAAAAACTATGTAAGTCAAATATGGTTGAAAATATCCTTTTGTTTAAAATTTAACGGAAAAATCTGATTCAGTACGTTTTTTTTTTTTTTTCCATTTGCAAATGATCCCATTCCCCAACTGTACTCTCAAGAATATGTGGACATCATCGAGTTTAGCTTAGTTGCTTGTAAGAAGCTTGTCAAAATTAGTTTGGAAAACTTTGAAGACACAAAACAAAACAAAACAGAACAAAAACAGAAGTACAAAGGCAAACCAAACCAAATAAAATTGTTTTGCAGAACACAAGAGGGGGTAAGTTTGTAAAGAAATTTACATTATTGACTCAGTTGATAAAACCTTATTATCTTTTATTTTTGCAGTAGTCCGACAAGGACGAAATTTTGTATCGATATCAATTGTAAAAGTTACTGCATATGGACAGATTTGGCCATGCTCGAAAGGGAAAAGCATGAGAGTTGTAGGAAATGATAGATTTTTCAAAATCTTCTTAAACTCTTACGGAATCATTTCATTTTCTTCTTGTAGGCTTGCTGAAGTAAACGATGTGTTACGAGCCCTAAATAATTGATACAAGATAACTGAAGGTCTCGGTATATATCACGCAATATCGAAATTAGTTCGAGAAATTAAACTGAGAAAACAGACTAACAGGATTTATGGCATCGTTTACTCATACTAATTTTCTTCGTTAAACGCAAGAGCGTAAGAATCAAGCGGCTTTCATAACTGCCTGTAACATCCCGTTACCCTTTGATGTCAACGAATAGAAGAAGACTAAGAAAGTGTGATGTTTTTCGTAGTCCTGAAACTTTTTCTAGGACTCAAAGAGCATTTAGTAAACACAATACATGAATATTTATCGCTTAACTTTTCAGAAATCATATCTATAAATATGAAAAAAGCAAGAAAGCTCAGGAAAAAAAGCTTGCGAAAAAGCCCTAGTAAACAATCATGTTTTTATGCAGTCAGAACCCGTAAGAACTTGTGTTTCGATCAAATTTGATTTGAAAAGACTTTGTCAATCGATTTGTAAAGGGTTTTTTGTGTATTTTGAAATATTTCGGTCTCCTCTTCAGAAAATTTAACAGCTTTCTCGACAAATAATTTGAAAATTGATGGGGTCAATTTTTGCAGCCATACAAACACATCGAATTGGAGTTAAAGACTCCATTCAAGGTTGAAGCAAAGTTTCTGATCGACAATTTGCATCGGAAAATTCGATAGTGTGCGATTCATTTTGGATAAATTTAATTGCTTGCGTGAGGCGTAAGCAAATTTAGAAGTAGGGAAATTTTCAGAGCCACGGGATACTATGACTGAGTGATTCCTCGGAGGTGAAAGGTTCCATTTAAGCAAAGTTATAAATATGCACGTTTGTAACCTCTGTTTCCCTTTCTGGTCAATTTTTTATCAAGAATCAGAATCGTTCCTGAAATCTAATAAAAACAATTTGCTTCTCCCCCACATAATTCAGTAACTCAAGACAATTATCACCGTTTAGGTAATCTAAACGGATTCACTGAATTAAGAAGATTAACTTGGCCAAAACAAACAAGCATGGCGAAGATATAACTTATTACCTTAGTGTACAATATCTGAATATGTTCCTTTTAACGGAGGTTGGTTTTCATTGTTTCACAATATTTCAAGTACTATAGTTTTGGATCCAGGTTTCTTATTTCTTGGGTAGATTTTTGTGAAATCCGCCAAACTTAGATTTTCGTTTTCTATTAATCGTTTTAAAAATCCAAGTTTCTAAACTGTTTACTTCAGTGACATAAGACACTTCGATAGCTCATAACACAAAGGTTTCAGTTTTAAATCCAGATCTCATTCCGATGAGATGATCGAAAGCCCTTTTTTCTGGTGTCATGAATTTCAGATTTTAACCATCACTTTTGAACGATCATTTTTCTTTTGAATGCCCGCTTACTTCAAGGAACAACTTAACAGTTTGACTATAACAAGACGGCACATTGCAATTATCATTAGCAAGAAAGGATGAAATACGTCCTTTGTTGTCATTCTTTCCCGTTGCAGGAATGATAAGCCTACTCACCTTGTTTGGCAACTGTGAAGCTGTTGAACCAGCCACCAAACAAAACAGACAGAGATAAAAGAGAAAGGATTTGGTAGCGAAGGTGTTTCATCTCCAAACGATCGGTGCCTTTGAAACCAGTATCACCATTAAGTCATATAACTTTTGCACTAAGGCTCTCAATCACAAAACGGTAAAATGAATTATTAAGCGTAGAAAGGGGGATTTAAAAGATTTTCTGCCCCCCTGGAGTTCAGGAAAGAGTTTAATCCTTTGACCCCAAAAAGTGACCAGTATCTAATTTCTCCTCAAGGTATCACCCATGCGACACACAGTAAGGTCACGAGTATAGAGGAAATGATCACCAACTAAAGAAGTACACTCTTGATTGTTAAGGAAATGCTCCTTGTTAGCTCCTTGAGAAATTTATAGAGAACAGTATAGATAATATACATTCTGATGTTTAGGTCTAAACGGTTTAAGTTCATTTTTATGCAGATTCTGGTAAATCCGTGTTAATTAACTTCTCTGCTTCGGATAAAGCTTTCCTACCGTTCTTGTTGTTTCTGTAGTCACGTATCTCGGCTGATAACTCTAAAAGACTCTTACCCTACGGTCGTCACTGACAGAAAACTATATTTCTTTCAACCTGCTCAACTTTGCTGTGCAATAATTATGTTGTCTCAAATTGTTGAAAATACATAAATTAAATGCCATGTCAAACGCATCTTTTTAAGAAGATATTTCGGCACGGCATGAGACTGAAATTAAGAAAGGAAAAGAAGGCATTAACTGTGAACTTTAACTTCTGTTTTTCTGTATTTTTGGGCTAATCAGCGAATAGTCCTGAAGAGGTCGACAGCCACGAAATGTGAGACGCGAGGTTGGGGAGGATCCTGGAAACTACTATCAGCTGATTTCTGAGTCGCCGATCGACAAGCAGCGGATCTTCTATCAAAGATGGCGGACAAATATGTTAGAAGTTTACTAAACCGCATTGTATTGTCTGGCGATGTTATCGGTAGTGTAGCTGATTTGGAAGGAAGTCTCGAAGGGAAAAACAAAGTTAAGCTCGGTCCAGGCTTAGGAGAAGTAAATGGTGCGATCGTGGCCTACAAAGCGGGGGTTTTTAGACATCGAAACCCGTCAATCCACTTGATCGATTGCAATCAAAGAAGGGCTAGTATCTGTAAAGTATTTCTGTTCACAATTCCAAGTCTTTTTTTCTTTCTGACTGTGTTACATGGGACACTTATACCGAAAAGTTTTTGCAATTTATCGTTGCGTGAAAATTACAACACCGTGTAACATCATACTGGGGAAAACTTTTTCCTTCAACAGTTAACTCTACATCACCTTGCCCGGCGACGTTCTCTCATAGACTGCTCAGCAAAGAATTTGTTCTTCTAAAATGTCTTGGAAAGCACTTTCTATTTGAATGCACTGTGGGAATGAATGGTAGAGTGTGGATCAATTCATCATCAGTACCTTGTACAATTACTGTTGCCAATGCTGTGTCGAACTCTGAATACATGAACAACAATCAAATTGAGACAATGGGGAAACAGCTTGTGAAAGGAATGCAGTCATAAGAACAGCATAAATCTTATCCTCTGAGTAATTTTCTTGAATTTATTGATGGAAAGAACAAGGAAACAAAAAACCACTGTTTTGAAAAGTGATACTGTATTTAGGATTAATCTCAAGATTTTGCTATACATATATCTCTCAGTTATTAAATGTACTATGATCAGTCAATTTAGTGGGCTATATAGTGGGGGGTGGGGGAAGGGGGATCACATGGTTCTCAGGAGAAACGGAGGGAGGATAAGTCGTCACCAACAGAGTATAAAAGGGGGGAAGACATATCTATTTGGTTTTAAAATATAAAATAAAATCCTTAAAAAAATCGAAAAAAGTCGAATTTGGTAGTCTAAAATGTAGCGTAAACCAGCGACACCAAACGGTACCCAAAAGGTTGCTACTATGAAGTACACTGGGTTTGTCTGTATCTTAGCCCCGACAACAGGGCTAGAAGTCTTTCCACAGTGAACATAATGCATATAGCCTGTTATTTTCGTTGCTTTGTATGTGCATTGACAAAGATAGCACTCCTTGTGAACCAAGGACATCCAATAAGGGGCAATGAAAGGCTGGCTGACAATACTAACTAACCGATCAGTTGTTTCCAAACAACGATACAAGAAATTTGGATGGCAGATGGAGGGAAGATACTTTGTGAAGGGCAGCAAGGATGAGAAAGTTCCCCAAAAATGCCATAAGCGAGAGGAGAATGTGAACTGCCGTGAAATAAATTGGTTGTTGTTATAATCCACCTGCCTATGATGGCGACCAAACTAGGTCTTCAAATGTTTTTGTTTGCCTTTGAAATGCTGTTAAAGTTGTGGTCGGCATCATCAGTATCTTCTTTTCTTTGGGCATAACAGAGATATTTTGCCTTCACGATAACTTCACATCCCCCTTGGCTTCGATCTCACCTTTTAATAATACATGTATACTTAAGTATATAAACTGTCTCATTTACCCTATTTGAAATGCGCAAACTATCCCAAGCGTCGTTTGTGCCACAAAACACTTCAAAATTTACCCAGAGGTTGGGATGTGTAGCTTGCATTAAACAACCATCCTAAAAGGGAATCAGTTGTTCAGCGACAATAAATTCTACGAGAATTTTTATCCTACGGTTATAACCTGAAAGGTCTCAAGATAGATAAAAGGGTGGAAATGTTGCTCAAAAGATCATAAGTAATTCAAATATTCCTCCCACGGTACACATTTTCTGGTTCTAAGGCAGAATTTTGCTACTGAATCATGCTGTTTGTCTTAGTTATCTGTTGATCAAACTGGTAAACGACCTTTTGGATACGGCATCGTATTACGGACATCTCTGAGACCATTGTTTCAAAATAAAGGGTGAAAAATTCAGTATTTGACTAAGGAAAGCCTTCCCTGAAAGCTATTGACAGATGACGAAGTGCTTGTGCGAATGTTGTGATCTCGGGACTTGTCAACATTATGATCATATACGTATGGCAGAATGAAAAACAAAAAGGTTGCAGCGCAGATGTTACTTGGTCAGGAAGAAGTTTAAAGACTTCCTTTGGATGAATCTATGGTCACCAATACCATGCTAATTTAGCCAAGGTTTTGTTTTTGTGCTTTCGAAAAACTATACTAGCTTTTTTCTAGCTTATACAGTCTGGCTACAGAATAAAAATATTCAGCAATTTCGTAGGCGCAAAACATAAAGCTACAAGAAAAAAGCTACTTAGAAAATTCCACTAAAGGAGACGTGACAAATCTCACTCGAAAGATCCCCATTTTTTGTCACAAAACATTATGCAATAGAATAGAACTTCGGCAAGGTCGGTGTCTGAGCATGCGTAGACTTTCGAATCTGTCGCATTTTCGCAATCTTTCTCACGGCGTTTTCTTTTTGGTGACCTCTTTTTTAGGCGTAGAACGCCTATGAATATTACGGGTGCAGTTGCTGGAAACCCTGGATTACATCACATAAAAACTGTATTGTGTTTAACTATTTTTAACACACCCTTTCAGATAACAATCGTGCAATCGTATCGAGCCGCCATGTTTGTTCTGTATACTGATACTTTATAAGCTCATGCTGTGTTTGCATCCAGATCTCACGCGGTCAAAAAAAGAGGAAAAAAAACCCCTATGGAGCCTCCTTAAGTACAAAAACTTCCCGTTACTGAATGTTTAGTTTGCCGGACTCCGTTACTGTTTTTTTTTTCTATGGCGAAATCCAAGTTAAGAATGGTTAGCTCTGTTCGTTTCTGTCGCCATAACAATATATTCCTTCGCATTAAGTGCGGCGAATGTTCACCTCTGTCAATGCTCTAGAGTTTCGTTGCTGTAGAGAAATTCCCTTGGTAAACCAAAAGCTAACTTTTGACTAAAGAATCAGCTGTATCATGAGGCGCGATGATTTTTCCCTGAGAAGTCATTGGGCAGTTTCACTGCAAAATCTCCTTTCCTCAGAGATTGCACAGGCAGAGGCTACCGTCGCGATCGTCTATCCGGTCGAACCGATCGGAAAATGAATGAGTTTATCGTCATGTGATTCAAGTTAATCTCTACTAATGATTTCAATGGAGAAAAACTTCTTTAGTTTAAGTGCAGCATTGCCACATGACCCATTCCGCTCAAAGGAAATAACTGACATAAGTATTATAAATGAATATTTCGTTCGCATCGACTTTCAGAAAACACTTGGATTCGCTACCATCTAATTCAATAAAATTTGTGTTTCCTTATTTATCTCGTTGCAGTGCTGTTATTCACAATAACATTGCCGCTGTTGCTACTCTTATTTTCTTGAGGGCAAGGGGGGGATGGATTTTCGGAACCTAGTTAAGAAGAATACACAGCTTCTCGAGCTTGTGTTTATGCCAGTACCCGTTAGAGGTTTTGCAGTGTTCACGCAACAGGATATCAGTCAGTTCAGGAAAGGGCTTGAACCTCATTTCAAATGATGTGAGCTTGTTAGCTCAGTTGGTAGAGCGCTGCACCGGTATGACAGAGGTCATGGGTTCAAATCCCGTCGGGCTTTGCTTTAATCAGGCCTTATTTCAGCTACTAATTAAAAAGTGTTCACAACTTCAAGCGCAGTGTACGTATATGATTTTATTATATTTACAGAGATGTATTTTTTGAAATACGATGGAAACTACAAGTGGTAGGATTTAAAATAAAAAAATCTCGATGTCGACGATCGAAACGCGTCCATTTTAGCCATACAGCTACATCGTTTGGAAAGTAGTATATAGAAATATCTGATTCATGTGTATTATTCTTGTAACTAACATCATTTGGCGCTCCAGCCACGCAATACATTCGTCCTTTCTTCTAGATTTCTCCCTTCTCCACCATAATTGCCGACGTATCTTTACAGTTTTCTACCTCACAGCTAAGTAACATGATCGTTTTGGCCGCACGCTAATGGGAACACTTTTTGGCCGCCAAATCGTACTTTCAATGCCCAAAAAAATGGTCAAAAATAACTCGCTTGGTGCTGAGGTCGATTATTTCTAATTCTAAATACAGATATAAACCAGAAAATGCCAAACAAATTTCGTGTCAAAGGTACTTTAACAGCCTGGGACATTCTACATCATTTCATCAAATTCTACTTTAAGATCCGTTTCACTTTGGCTTGCCTGACTTAGCTTATGACTCAGTAAGACAAAGTAAATAAAGGGACATTTTTTTTTTTTGCATTTTCTGGAGTATTCTAGAACAGAAAAGTCTAAGATAATAGGAAATGGCAGTGGGAAATCAGTCGATCGATAAATAATTTTGAACTTTTAAACATCGTTGACCAAATTTATTTGATTTTCATTTTATCGATGAAATATATCTTCATTTATGGCAACTTCCCAAATCATTTATTGATCAAAATTTGCTTACAACCTGTCATTCATTCCGTGATATTTGTAACGGTCCCGAGGACGAAAGGCACGCGTTTAAGGGAACCACACAATGAAGTTAGAGCATAGCGAGTTTTGAACCAAATTTTTTATGCCTTGCATAATAATTGGATTCTTTATTTTTTCAGAATTTTCATGAAATAAACAACTTTTGACCAATAGATGAAATTCAAGCGCGAAAATTATCCTTGTAGTGGGGAGCTGAAAAAAAAAAAAAAAAAAAAAAAACCTTTTTACTAAGGAGCAGTGGTAGGTAAGAGCGCGTGTCAGCAGCTTTTGTACTCGATTGTCATTAAAATGAGATAATCTTTTCCCATGAGACCAGCTGTGTGTACACGGCTTGTGATAGAGTCACTAAATTCTCTTCAATATTCGAATTTGGTAATAAATGTACTTTTAGAATTACTTGCTCAAAGTAATCTATGGATAACCATCTTAGGAATACAATTTTGCACTCGATAAACAGTCTTAATTGATGCTGGAAACAGAGTGAAAAAAGCTAGTTTTATCAACCATGTTAGAGTTTTTGGACTATTTCTTATCATAGGTTTCTTCTGCCATAATTTGGAAACTTTCTCTCTGGCAATCGATTGGCCTCAAACAATAAATCTTTATGCGAAAGTAGTCATAATCAACTCATTTTCTAAGAATTTACTTCAAAACATTGAAAGAGATGAAAAAAAGTCTACAAATGTATAAAGTTTTGCTATAAACAAATCGAGCCCGCGGCTCCTGTTAAAATCCGTAAACATTTAACCGTATGTCTGAGCCAAAATGACATATCTCATCCAGTTTTGACAAAACAGCAAAATCGTAAGCACACTCTATTTGAAAAGAATAGTATTCACTGCTTCACTGTAAGTGTGCGAATTCGGGACATGATATTCTTGTGATATAGTTACCAAAGTAAGATTTTTACCGTTCATTTGTTCTTAAGATAACTTGAATACAATATGAACATAAGATATAGCTCTTTTTGGCCTTCCTTTCTCTTTTTATCAAACAAATATATATAATCGTTTAATAGCTTTGGAAGAAATAGAACATGTAAACGTCGAAATAAGTCGAAACCTATGCATGGCAAATTGCTTGTCTGATTGTCTGCTTTACTGCTCGTCTGATATCTTTGATCTTTCAGCGGTAAAGAAACGGTTACAACCCAAACTATGGCTAAAATGATATACGCGCACCTCAGAGTTACGTCTCTTTGTATCTCAGTCCCAACAACATGGCGAGAAGTCGGTCCACGCTCATGACTGTCAGCGTCGACGATGTCACTGAACATAACTCACAGCCTGATACGCCGGTTGCGTTAAGTAAGTATCGGCAAAGACTCCAGTGTTCGTGAACCACAGACATCCAATAGGTAACATAGAGAGGCCGTATAATTATACGGCCGTGCCACATATCTAATCAGTATGGCCTAAAACAAATGTAGCATAAACCAGCGACACCAGCAGTATCCAAAAGGCAACAGCCAACATCCTTTTGTTGCTATCACCCTTTTGCGAGGGTCTCAATGGGGTTAACCATTAGCCGTAAAACGGCCAAAAAAAGTAGCCGTTAGGTGTTAAAATTGACGAAATTTAACCGTTAGTCATAAGAAAATTAACCTAAAATATTTCCGGTGGAAACAATGGAAAGATGCCTAGCGTTCGCCGTGAATTGGCCAAAATTTTTACCGTTAGCCGTAGAAGCCACCACCCCATTGAGAACCTCTTTCGCAGATTAGTCAAGATAAGTCAAACATCAGTTTGTGAATAATAATTACATAAAGACTTCATCAGTAGCGTTTGACTATGTAAATGCCAAAAAACGACATTGAAGAGTAAAATCTCCTCGAAGTCGAAGATCGAAACGCGTCCATTTTAGCCATACAGCTACATCCTTTGGAAAGTAGCATATAGAAATTCCTGGTTTATGTGTATTATTCTTGTAGCTAACATCATTTGGCGCTGAAATAATAATTACATTATGACTGACTTCATCAGTAGCGTTTGATTATGCAAAATGCAGAAAACAAGCTGTCCAGTGTGTTACACGAAACTCAAAGAAAAAAAAGGGCCGGGTTTTTCTGCGAATTTGAATTAGTAATAGGCGGCAAGGAAATATACATTTGTGGTAGAATTATTTCACAATACGACAACAAATTTGGTAATAAATGTGCTTCTCAATTACTCGCCCAAAGAAATTTATAAATAACTTCTGAGGACCACGCTTTTGCACTCAATAAACAGTCTTAATTGATGTTGGTAACGTACTAAGAAACAGTTAGCTAGTCTTATCAACCATGTTAGAATTTTTTAATCATTTCTTATGATTTTCTCCTGTTAAAGTTTTCGAGCTAAATCTTAGGCAATTGACCTGTCTCAAGCAAGTACTCTATATCAAAGACAGAGATGATCAAATTCTTTTCTAAACACATCTTTCTGTGTATTTGAACAGACGTTAATAAAGTCCGCACCTTTTTTGTTATTTCCCAATCACGACAAAATCGAACGGCTGCCTAATTTCGCAGCTCGTCATCACGAATCCATATTCTTGAGCTAATGTGACATATTTCGTCAAGTTTTGATCGCAAAGCAAAATTTCTGAGCACATTCTGATTCCAACTGATAACCTTCACTACTCATTACAAATGCGCAAATTGGCGAGATGTTGTTGTTTTCACATGGCTACTAAACTACAACTTTTCACCAGTTAGTTGTTCGTTAGATAATTCGAATACAATATACTATTTAGAAGTTACTGAAGCTGTTCATATTTCTCCCGCACTTTTTTTTACTTCTGTTATATTTTGCGAAATTGATCATACGCAAATGATTGGTCTCAAACGATAACTCTATATGAAATAGAGATGATCAACTTCTCTCTAAACATATCCTTCTGTGTATTTGAACTGATGTTAACAAAATCCTCATCTTTACTTTGCAAAGTCTCATTATATATACTATGGATAATTACCAATCATCAAAAAAGCTGGCTCCTTCAGTAGCTCGTCATCACTAAACCATACCTCCTCGCTAAGGTGGCATATCTCATCAAGTTTTGATCCCAAAGAAAAATTCTGAGCGCATTCTGATTGCAAAATAATAGCCTTTACTGCTTCATTACAAATGCGGAAATTGGCGACGTATTATTGTTTTGTTATGGCTACTAAACTACAATTTTTCGCTTGTTAGTTATTCGCTTGATAATTAATATTCGAATATAATATACAACTTAGAAGTAGTTCTTCATATTTTTCCTTACCCTTTTTTATCATGAAATGACATATCTTCCCCTCTCTTCTAATGATTAAATTTTTCAAATAAGCTCAAGTAGAAACAATACAATCCAACGTTAAAACAGGTCTACCCCTCTGCATAGCAGATTGCTTTTCTGATTGTCTGCTTTACTGCTCGTCTCACTTCACTTATCTTCCAGCAGTAAAGGAACGGGTTTAAAGTGGAGTTAAAGTAAAATATAACAACTGCTATTCCCCTAAATATGATGAGATTCGGAGATCGCTCTTTGCGAAGAGAGATAAAAATTTCCACTGTTAATAGTGGTACATAACAGACAACCAAAGCTAACTGCACCCAAAGTGCACTCTGCAGTGCCTTTCTGTATCGCACCATGTTCAGTGCATTTGGTTGGCTCGGCTGTTGTTGAGCATAATCTTGTACTTGAGCCTGATGATGACTGAGAGCGCAAAAAATCTTTGTATACGAGGCGATTGAGATAACTAGGCATGATGGTAGCCCTATACGACTGAACCAAAAGGTTATACGGTAATTGAAATGAAAGAATAAACCAGTGACTACACATACAACACAAACGATAGCTAAAATGATATATGTGCGCCTCAAAGTTACAATCTCCCTGTATCTCAGCCCCAACAACAGGGCGAGAAGTCGGTCCACGCTTATGGCCGTCAGTGTCGACATTGACAGTGAACATAATGCATAGCTTGTTACGCCATTTGTGACCCATGCGTATCGACAAAGACTCCAGTGTTCGTTAACCACGGAAATCCAATAAGTAGCATAGAGAGGGTGGCTAACAGCACCAACCAAGAGATCAGTTGTCGCCAGACAACGATACAAAAGTTTGGATGGCGGATGGAGGGAAGATTCCTTGTGAAGGGCAACAAGGATAAGAGAATTCCCAAGAGTTGCTGTGATGGAGAGGAGAATGTTGACTGCTGAGAATGAAATGGACTGTTTTTGAAACTCACCTACCCAAACCGGAGAGCATTCCGATCCTTCAATTGTTTTCGTCTGTGTTGCACTTCCTGTTATATTTGTTGTTATAGCCATCATTGGTATTTCCGCTCTTTTGCAGGTTATCCTTAAGTTGTCAATAACGAGGTATATTTCGTCTTAACAGCAGCCTCTAAGTCAAGATGATTTAAACCTTAGTTTTTCAATAACAATAACATAAAGTAAATATTCATCAATAGCGTCTGACTTTATAAAATGCCTGAAGCTGTGAGCTTTGTCACACAAAAGAGAAAAAAGACAAATTTTTGTGTGCGAATTTGAATTAGCAATGGGGGGGGGAGGGGGGCGGGATGCAAAACGGTATTTGTGATAGTTGTGATAGGTTAATTTCACAATACAACAGAAAAAACTCCTCACTTAAATAAACCTTCAGTGATAGGATACCGACAGTTGACCGACAGGCAACAGATTGTCGGCCGACGCTTTGACCAATTCATCGGCCGACGTGTCGTTTGGATCGGACTCGTTGCCTTACCCGGATAATAACGTAGATTATTAATTTAGGTGAATCATGGGATGCCTTGAATTGTTATCAGCTAAGGCAAACTGAGAGAAAAATTCCAATTTCACAATTTATGTAGGTTCTAAATGCACAGCTATTCTAAAATATATGAATTTTTGTTCGCTACGTGTCGCACCTGTGTTGAGTTAGGAACGAAAAGGCGACAGGTGTAAGATATTACGTTGTTAGCCCATCTCTATCTCACTATTTCATTCGCTATTTATCCACTTCTTTTATAGCTGCAAATTCGGCCGGATTATTTCTTATGGTCAAGAGAAAATTAAAGGTCAAGAGGCTTGAAGTCCCATTTTTTTAAAGTATCTAAACTACTAGTGAGGTAAGCTTCTTATTTCTTGTTCTTGATTCAACCAAGCTGTTATGTATTTGTTGTGGTTCTATTTTATCCTTGGTTCAAATTTTATGTTCTTTTGTTTTTGGGTATTGTAATGTAGGATAATGAGTTTGAAACAAAGGAAAATAGAATTTTTAACCAAGGATAAAATTGAACCACAACATGTACTCCGGGTGATTGGATTCTTTTTGTTGCTCTCCTACTGTGCGATTAACGAATCACCTTTGGTAATCAAAATCACATATCGCATAATTAAAGTCGTCTGCTAATTACAGTTGAAAACAATTGACTGATCAATAACCCTTTCAATTATTATCGAGGTAAAGAATTTCTAGCTAAACAAACATTTTTCTAGCTTTTAGTGAATTAAATAACGCCTTTCCCGATATTGCAACCCCATCAATAAAAACTGGACACTCTGTTTTCCAAGGCTTACACACGACTGTGTTGTAGATTTCTATACTAAATCGCTTTATTTTGAGTTTAATTTTACAAGTAGGAGTTTATAAACAAGTACGGTTCAAATGCGTGTTACGTTACTGATGTGTCGATCTATTGGAAGCTTCAAAATCCCCCCCCCCCCACCCCCTTCCCCACCCGCATTGACCGGGTTTTCAAACTAAGACCTTGAAGACCTTTTCTTCTGAGCCTTTCGCTCGCCAAAGTGAGCTCTTTGCCTTTAAATATCACCATATTGAAATATAAAACTCTTGTTTTCCGCTGGAAAGACTTGACACCGCTTCCGACTAAGGTTCAAATTTTCCATCCCAGCCAGGCAAGGTTTAAATTCCCCACCCCACGGGCACGGACGACGGTCTAATGCCCGTGGGTTTCCTGAGGGCGGAATTTTGAGGCTTTGAAATGATAGGTGCATGTTGGAATAATTATAACTCATGACGTAAAGGATTAGCTATCAAGTAATACGTCCAGAAAAATATTACATCCATTCATTAACATCATTCGATTACATAAGTTTATGTTACTAGGTATCTAAGAGACAACCAGCTGGCGGAGTTGCCTTCTGATATTTTCATCAGTAATCTAAGGCTGGAAATGCTGTAAGTGTAACATCTCTTATCAGAGCATACATTTCTTATTCTGAGTCGCTCCACTTTCTACTTGCAGTATCTTTCAACACCTGAATTCAATTATTCTGGACAGGTTGGTATTTGTAGCCCGGGGAGTTAAAAAAAGGGGGGGGGACAGGATGGATCGGAGTATTTTGGTTATGTCAGTATAAATATTACCTGATCCTCCATGGTATTCTAATGATCCCTCCTCATTGGCAGTCAATTTTGGCTAGACCCCCCCTTAAAGATTAAAAGTCAGAGTGTTTTACATTATGACCAACTCTTTCTTTTAATACACTCTAGCTCTGTTATTTCCATACAGTAAATAGACTGATTTTGAATAATAGCACAGTACTTGACGTGAACGATTGTGCCAATCGATCACCAGCATGCGAAGCATGTAACTTGACTGAAATCTAAGGTCAACAAATAGAGGCTCAGCTCTCCTTTCTGTCACTTTTCTGTCTTCAAAAATGTCAATTTCAAACAGATTTAGCCCTTGAAGGACCATGACACTAAACGATATATTGCATTAAACACATTCAAAATTATTGTATTGCATTGTAAGTAAACCGCTCTCTGCAACAACACCTGTAAGAGACATTTTGTGTCAAAAATTGAGTCTCACTTTTAATCTTTAAATATTTCAGGCTATTTGTATTTCATAAGGAAATAAAATATAGAAAAAAAATCATGGTATATTTACTTTGTCAAAGTCTTGCATTATAAAAAAAAAAAAAAAAAAAAAAGTTGTGTGTTCATTCAACATATAGATAGAATTACTGTTTATCTAACACGATAAACGATCGAGTTGTAAATTTTTAAGTGAGCTTTCTGCAGAGGATGAAAGAAGCTGCTTGGCTGATATCTCTCCATTGACAACCTTCTTCTCTCCTTTCAGATGCTGTTAAATTTATAGTCGGCATCATCAGTATCTACTTTTTTAGCATATAACAGAGGTATTTCGCCTTCACAAAGTCTTCACGTCCACTTTGCCGTAAATGTTACCATTTAATAATGCATATGTACTTTAGCGTTTAAACTGTATCGTTTACCTTACTTGAAATGCGCGAACGATCTCAAGTTTGTTTTAAAACCGTTTTCTGCTTGTTGCTTCTGAACAATGCTGTTTGTCTCAGTAACCTGTTTATCAAATTGATACACGACATTTTGGATATGGCATCGTATAACAGGGACAGATTTATACCGGCTATGTGAGCATTGTTTTAAAAGAAATGGTGAGAACATCATTGTTTGAGAAACGAAAACCGTCACTGAAAGTTATTGAGAAATGACAAAGTGCTTGTGCAAATGCTGTGATCTCGCGACTTGAGAGAATTATGATCACGTACTTACGGCAGACTGAAAGACAAAAAGTTTGCAGTGCATGCAGATGTCAATCGGTCAGCAAGCAGTTTAAAGACTTCCTTTGAAAGAATCCATAGTCACCAATTCCGTTGTTTTTTGAAAACTATACTAGCACTTTTTCTACAATACGGTTTTGCTACCCAATAAAAATATTCAATCATTTCATAAAGCTGCAGAAACATTTTTTACAGTGGTTTCTTTTGTAAACCATTAAGTAAGGTAAGTTAAATTCTTTTTTGAGTCATTATCTGATTGCAAAATATTACCGTAGCAATAATTAAAGTTGTTCTGTATACGACAGGTGATGCTTTAATTTTGTCTTTTGTATCGATTCCTCTTTTGTAAAAAGTGGTTCCACTACTGACTCGGAGAAAATATCTGTAGTAGTCACTCATAGTTTGCATCACAGCTTTTGTTGACAGCTTATCGAGCCTGTTCGAGGCGAAGCGAAAAAAGAGTGAGGCTTGGGTCGAGTCGGTTAAAGACCGGCGTTCACCTGACCCGACCCGACTCGACACAAGCCTCCCCCGTTTTTCCACTCAACCGCTGCTTCCGTGCCCAGTACTATTTCGTTCCGTTTTACTGAATGAACGCCTGGAAAAGGCTGGTGATAACAACAGCAACTAAATATTACGTTTGCTCATAGAGATATGGTGAACAGCGTGGGACATTCTACATCATTTCATCATATTCCATTTTGAGATCAGTTTCACATAATTGGCTTGCCTGGCTTAGCTCATGACTCAGCAAGACAAAGTAGATAAAGGAAAACTTTTATAATTTTCTGGAGTATTTAGAACACAAGTCTACGATATCTAGAAATTGCAGTCGGAAATCAGGCGATCGTTAAATAATTTTGAACTTTTAAACATCGCTGATCAAATTTTTTTCGATTCTCGTTTTATCGATGAGATATATCTTCATGCATTTATGGCAACTTCTTCAAAAATTCAAAAGTTCGCATGCAACCAGTTATTCATTCCGTGATATTCGTAGCTGTCCGAGAACAAAAGGGAAACGTTAAAGGGAACCACATAAAAGAGGTTAGGGCGTAGTAGTTTTTGAACCAATTTTTTATGCCCTCCACAGAATTTTAATGACAAATCATTTTTTGACCATCAATTGAAATTCCAGCGCGGATATTATCCTTGCAGTGGTAAGCTGCTATACAAACCTTTTTAATTAACAGTAGGAGTAAGAGGCGGTGTTAGCACCTTTACTCGATTGTCATTAAAATAAGGGAATGTTTTTTCACAACACCAGCTGTGTGTACACAGTCTGTCATAGAGTCACGAAATGTTCTTGAATATTCGAATTTGGTGATAAAAATGATTTTTAAATTATATGCTTTATCTATGGACAACCTTCTGAGGAGTTCAATTTTGCACTTGATAAACAGTTTTAATTGATGCTGGTAACGTACTGAGAAACCGCTTGCTAGTCCTATCAACCAAGTTAAGGTTTATATTAATCATTTGCTATTATAATTTTCTCCTGTTATAATTTTCGAGCTTAATCTTAGGTAAACGATTGATCTCAAATGGTAACTGTTTATTAAAAATAGAGATGACCAACTTCTTCTCTAAACAGTTCCTTCTGTGTATTTGAACAATTGTTGGCAAAGTCAACATCTTTAATTTACAAGGTTTCGTTATAAACATTATGGCTAATTCCTAATCATGACAAAATCGAGCGGCTGGCTCCTTTAGCAGCTCTTCATCACTAAACCATATTTCTGAGCTAAGGTGACATATGTCATTAAGTTTACATCGCAGAGAAAAAATCCTGAGCGCATTCTGACTCAAAAATAATAGGCTGCGCTATTTCATTGCAAATGCGCAAATTGGAGACGTTATTGCTTTTTTTATGGCTACTAAACTATAATTTTTCACTCGTTAATTCTTCGTTAGATAGTTCGAATACAATATAATATTTAGAAGTAACTCTTCATATTTTCCTTACTCCTTTTATCATGAATTGGCATATATCCCCCTCTCTTCTAACAAATATAATTTTTCAAATTAGCTATATGAAAGAAACAGTACATGTCAACGTTAAAACAGGTCTACCAAGTTTTGATCCCAAAGAAAAACCCTGAGCGCATTCTGATTGCAAAATAATAGCCTTTACTACTTCATTACAAATGCGGAAATTGGCGAAATATGATTGATTTGTTATAGCTACTAAACTACAATTTTTCACCTGTTAGTTATTCGCTTGATAATTAGTACTCGAATATAATATACAACTTAAAAGTAGCTCTTCATATTTTTCCTTACCCTTTTTTATCATGAAATGGCATATCTTCCCCTCTCTTCTAATGATTAAATTTTTCAAATAAGCTCAAGTAGAAACAGTACAATCCAACGTTAAAACAGGTCTACCCCTCTGCATAGCAGATTGTTTGTCTGATTGTCTGCTTTACAGCTCGACTCATTGCATTCATCTTCCAGCAGAAAAGGAACGGGTTTAAAGTAGAGTTAAAGAACACTATGACATTTACCATTCCATTGATTATGACGGAATTCGGAAATCGCTCTTTACTTAAAGTGATCCCTGTCTCCACTATAAAAAATGGTACATAACAGAAAACTAAAGCTAAATGCACCCACAGTGCACAATGCACTGCCTTTCTGTATCGCGCTATATTCAGTGCATTTTGTAGGCTAGGCTGTTGTTGTGCGTGATCTTGTACTTGAACCTGATGATGACTGAGAGCGCGGAAAATCTTTGTGTACGAGGCGATTGAGATAACTAAGCAACATAATATACCTATAGGGCTGCACCAAAGGGCTACACGGTAGCTGAGATGACGGAATAAACTAGTTACTAGACATACAACCCAAACGATAACTAAAATGATGAAAGTGCACCTCAAAGTTACAATCTCTTTGTATCTCAGTCCCAACAACAGGGCGAGAAGTCGGTCCATGCTTATGACCGTCGTTGTCGACAAAGACACTGAACATAATGCATAGCCTGTTACGCTACTTGCGTCAAATGAGTATCGACAAAGACTCCAATGTTCGTGAACCACGGACATCCAATAGGTGGCATAAAGAGGTTGAGTAGCAAGACCAACAAACAGATCAGTTGCTGCCAGACAACGATACAAGAGTTTGGATGGCGGATGGAGGCGAGATTCCTTGTGAAGGGCAACAAGGATAAGAAAATTCCCAAGAGTTGCTGTGATGGAGAGGAGAATGTTGACTGCTGAGAATAAAATGGACTGTTGTTTTAACTCGCCTACCCAAACCGGGGAGCATTGCCATTCTCCAAATGTTTTCGTCTGCGTTCCACTTCCCGTTATATTTGAAGCTGCCATCATTGTTATCTTCCACTTTTTTGCAGGTTATCCTTAGTAAAAATGAGGTATATTTCGTCTTAACAACGCCCTCCAAGTCAAGATCAGTTAAACCTTATTCTTTTTACTAGCATTTACAGAGATTAAAAATTCATCAGTAGCGTCTGACTCTGTAAAATGTCCGAAAGCTGTGAGGTTTGTCACACGAAAGAGGAAAAAAGGCCGTTTTCTCTGCGCGAATTTAAATTAGTAATTAGGGGAAAGTAAACATGTATTTTTGATAGGTTAATTTCCCAACACAGAAAAAAAAAACAAAAACAAAGGAAAAAAGAATTCTCTACTCAAATAAAGCTTCAGTGATAGGATATCAAGACTTGACCGACAGTCGGTCGGTCGGTCGGTCGGCAGTTGACAAATTGTCGGTGGACGCCTTGACCAACGAATCTGCTGACGTGTTGTTTGGATCGGATTTGTTTTCATACCCGAATTATTAATTCACGTGATCTTGGAACGCCACGAATAGTTTTCAGCTCAGGAAAACTGAGAGAAAAATGTTAATATCAAAATTAATGTAGTTTACAGATACAAATCTATTCCGAAAATATTTGAATTTTTTTTTCTCTACATGTCGCACCTATCTGGACTTAGGAACGAAACGGTGACAAGTTTAAGATGATACGTCGTTAGCCCGTCTCTATCTTAACTTTTTCATTTACTATTTACCCACTTCTTTTATAACCGAAAATTTAGCCGAGTTATATCTTATGGTCATAAGAAAATTAAAGGTCAAGAAGCTTGAGGTCCCATCATTTCAAATGTCTAATTAATACTGAGATAAACTTCTTGTTTCTTGGAAGGAAGGCGACTAGCTGACCGATTCCGAGAACACCTTAGCGACGTAGAAAGAAATGACCCTAATCATTCTAAGCAGCATATGGCAGTTAGCGGCCTTTCCCTACATCTAGCAGTTCGGAAGGCAGCAAAACTGTAGAACAAAAATCGACCTTTTAAATCGGCACTCTTAATCCAACGGTATCAACGAGCGCTTTTCACTTAACTAATTTATTATTGATTTCGCGTCACCATATTCCCACCGATAGCGTAGCTCCTTTTTTTGTATATAAACCCACACACAACCCACAGTTCCTCCAATTGCTCTGGCGAAGGGCTAACGTTCGAAATGTCAGTTGCTAAACTCTTTACGGTGGCTAATATACGTTATCAACTCAGTTTATAATTAAAAGTTTGAACGTGTCCTTTAGTAGCATGTCGTAATGATGTGGGATATTGATCAAATGAAGCCTTTAAGTGCTACTGTGGTTCTTTCTTTCTTCATTTACTCCGAGCTTTCGCCGTTCTACGGCATCATCAGGGAGGACGATAAAATATTTGCGCTATGGTTTTAAACGTTGGAGGTGCCACTGTAAATTAGCATAGTGTAAAACTAGCCAGTAGGACGCATGAGAACTAATGGCGTGATAAAATGTTCTAAAATATGTGTTAAAACCGTTAATTAAAATCAGTTTATAATATTAAATTACCCTAAATTTTTTGTTGCTTGACGAGGAACTGTTTTCTAAATACACATGACAAGTGATCGGGGCTAATATTTTTCTTACTCATCAGATAATTCAAGAATATTCACCTTCAGATATCAAATTAACTTAAAGACTGTGTTAAACACAATGACCATAGTCTGAATTCGTTCCTGACGGATAATTAAGGATATTCTGACTCCGCTCAAGTAAAATTTTGATCAAAACTTGTAACGTGCTGATTCATAATGGATAGTGGTCATGGCATATCGAACATTTTAAGTTTGTAAAGACGTGTTTCAAGTTGTCACGGTGATGCATATTTTTATTTTAATTACGCAAATTCCATATCAAGGTAAGAGAGGAGAACGATTTTCAAGAGACAAACACTAATGGCCGTACTATTGAAACCAGGAACCTTCATATCATCACATCAGTTCCACAGGTGATATACTATTTAGAAAACATTTCCATAATTTTGTCTCCTTTAATTCTAGTAACATGAAGTAAATCGAGCATTCCTATTGGAAATTTCCGGAAAGTAGGTTGAATTTCATTTTTGTCTCCGGGATTCAAATATCCATGGGCAAACAATTCATTTGCAAAGAAAAATACATGATCAATTTAATTTATTTAAAGTGTTGAGTTAACTGTACGAAACAGTTTGAACCTTTTCCATAAGTTTTACTTGTAATTGCTTGTCCCCAATAAGTTTTCAACACAACATAATCGAAGCTTCGTTGGTTTTATTGACCCGCTTTTGCGTCCAATCGTGATTGTTATGGTAATAAATTTTCCTAATACTTTCCAGTAGGGAGACTCAAGGTTTCTTCTTTGTCCTACGCACGTAACAAGATTAAAAAGCATCTTTTCCCTAGTTCAGTAACGTGCCCAAAATTTACTACCTCAATTATTCTATTTTCTACATCTATAATGCCAATTTTTTAAAAGGATAATTGGTATGGCAAAAATAGAAATCTAGATTGCATAAAACTATTCAAAATTAATGTATTGTTACAGATGCATAGTTACTCCTAAATATATTTGTATTTTTGTTCTTTCCTCTCTACGTGTCGCATCTGACTGGAACTTTGAGATCATGAAAATATCTCTACCGATCAAACTGCCTTGAACTCTACCTTTTTGTCCTAAAAGGTTTCAAAATAGATGCAGCGGTGAACAGTTTTTTTAACCGCCATTAAAAATGCACACCTGTACAAGTTATCCTTAACTACAAACAAGAGTTTCAAACATTCTTCTCACCGGAGACATTTTGTGTGCCAATTATCTCTGGTTCTATGGCGGAAGTTTGATTCTGAACAATGCTGTTTGTCTTGTTACCTGTTAATCGAATTGGTAAGCGATACTTTGGATATGGCATCGTATAACAGGGACGAAGTTATACTCTCTGTAACCATTTTTTCAAAAGAAATGGTGAAAAAAAAAACAGTGTTTGACCAAGAAAAACCTTTAGTGATAGCTATTTACAGATGACGAAGTGCTTAGGCACTGCTGTTATATCAGGACTTGTCAGAATTATGATCACATACGTACGGCAAATTGAAAAACAAAAAGGTTGCAGTGCAGATTCTACTTGGTCAGGAAGCAGTTTGAAGACTTCCTTTGGGTGAGTCTAAAGTCACCAAGACCATGTTATTTAACCCGGGTTTTGTTTGAGTTTTTTGAAAAATTACCATAATAACGTTTAAAGTTGTCATGTATACAACAGGTGATTGCATTCATTGTGTCTCGATTCCTCTTTTATAATAAGAGTTTCCATTACCGACTCGAAGAAAATATCTGTAGAAGTCAGTTGTATTCTGTATCAGAGCATTTTTTGACAGCTTATCGAGTGACAACATAGCCTGTTCGAAGCTGGCAAAACGAAGTGCCCAATAAACGGCGCGATAGTCACGGCGGTGTGAAAAAAAAATGGAGGTTAGGGTCCAGTCGGTAAAAAAAAACAAGGTTCACCCGACCCGACCCGACCCGACCCGACCCGACCCGACCCGACCCGACACGACCCGACCCGACACGACACGACCCAAGCCTCCCTCTTTTTTCTCTCCACCGCTACTATCGTGCCATGCACCATTTCGCTCCGTTTTACAAAATTAAAGCCTTTAAAAGGCTCGTAACAACAATGGCAGCTAACCATGAGCTCTGCTTATAAAGATATGCTTAACAGCTTGTAACATTCTATATCATTTTATCATATTCTGTTTAAAGATTAGTTTCAGCTTAGCTTGCCTGGCTTAGCTCATAACTCAGCAAGACAAAGTAAATAAAGGAGCATTTCAAAATTTTCTGGAGTATTTTAGAACAAGATTCTACGATATCTAAAAATCGAGGTGGGAAATCAGTCGATCCTGGTAAATAATTTTGAACTTTTAAACATGACTGACCAAATTCATATGATTCTCATTTCATCTATGAAATATACCTTCATTTGTGACTTTTATGGCAACGTCAGCTTTTTCATATTATTTACTCATCAAAAATTTGCATACAACCTTAAATTCATTCCGTGATATTCGTAACAGTTCCGAGAATGAAAGAGAGATGTTAAGGAAAACCACATAAAAGGGGTTGGAGCGTAGTAGTTCTTAAACCAAAGATTTAATTCTTTCATTATACTTATTCTCTTTTTTCAGAATTTTAATGACATCAATCATCTTTTTGACCATCAGATGAAATTTAAACGCGGATATAATACTTGAAGTGGTGAGCTGTCATACCAACCCTTTTAATTAAGAGTAGTGATAGGTACTCAAGAGCGCGCTTCGTACTCGATTGTCATAAAATGATAGAATGTTTTCTCATAAGAGCAGCTTTGTGTACACGGCCTGTGATAGAGTCACGTATTTCCCTTGAATATTCAAAATTGGTAATAGGAATGCTTTTAAACTTGATTACGATGAAATCCGATAATCGGGTTAAACTCTAAGCAGAATCTCCATATAAGTTATAGAAGAAGCAGTAGATGACAACGTTAAAATAGGTCTACCCCTCTGCAAAGCAGAGAGCTTGCCTGATTGTCTGCTTCACTGCTCGTCTCACTTCACTTATCTTCCAGCAGTAAAGGAACGGGTTTAAAGTAGAGTTAAAGAAAAGTATGAAAATTCCCATTCCGTAAATTAAGAATAAATTCGAAAATCTCTTTGCACTAAGAAAGATCACAATTCTCACTATAAACTGTGGAACATAACAGACAACTAAAGCTAATTGCACCCAAATCGCATTGTACACTGCCTTTATGTATCGCGCCATGTTCAGTGCATTTGGTTGGTTCGGCTGTTGTTGAACATGATCTTGTATTTGAGCCTGATGATGACTAAGAGCGCGAAAAATCTTTGTGTACGAGGCGACTGAGATTACCAGACCAGATGGTATGGTTATGATGCGGTACCAAAGACCTATACGGTAATTGAGATAAGAGAATAAACCAGCGACTAGACATCCAACCCAAACGATAGCTAAAATGATATACGTGCGCCTCAAAGTTACAATCTCTTTGTATCTCAGTCCCAACAACATGGCGAGAAGTCGGTCCACGCTTATGGCCGTCATCGTCATCAAAGACACTCCGCATAATACATAGCTTGATATGACGGTTGCATCCCTTGCGTATCGACAAAAACTCCAGTGTTCGTAAACCACGGACATCCAGTAGGCAACATAGAGAGGCTGGTTGACAAGACCAACCAACAGATCAGTTGTTGCCAGACAACGATACAAGAGTTTGGATGGCGGATGGAGGGAAGATTCTTTGTGAAGGGCAATAAGGATAAGGGAATTCCCAAGAATTGCCGTGATGGAGAAGAAAATGTTGACTGCTGAGAATGAAAGGGACTGTTGTTTAAAATCACCTAACCAAATCGGGGAACATAACGACTCGTGAAATGTTTGCGTATGTGTTCCACTTTCCGTTAGATTTGTTTTCGCCATCATCTTGCTGTCGTTTCCACTCTTTTGGAGGTTATCCTTAGATACAACGAGGAATATTTCGTCTTAACAGCACCCTTTAAGTCAAGGTCGGTTAAACCTTAATTTTTGGATAACAATTGCAGAAAGTAAAAGTTCATCACTAGTGTCTGACTATGTATCATGCCGGAACGCTGTGAGGTTTGTGACACGAAAGAGTAAAAAACGCCAGTCTTTCTGCGCGAATTTGAATTAGTAATAGAGAGAAAGTAAAACTGCATTTGTGATAGGTTAATTTCCCAAAAAAACATAAAAAAACTTATTTACTCAAATAAACCTTCAGTGACAGGATATCGAAAGTCTACCGACAGTTCGTCGATAGTCGACCAATTGCCGTTGGCCGACACCTTGATTAACGCATGGGCCGACGTGTTGTTTGGATCGGACTCGTTGCCTTACCCGGCTGATAGCGTGAATTATTAATTCACGTGATCTCGGGATGACATGAATTGTTAACAGTTTAGGAAAACTTAGAGAAAAAGTCCAATTTCAAAATTTATGTTGGTTAGAGATGCAAAGTTATTCTAAAAATATTTATATTTTTTTTGTATCTACATGTCGCACTTCTAGATGGTGGAAATGTTGGTAAAAATATTATAAATAATTCAAATGCTCCCCCCACGGGAGACGATGTGTGTGCAAATTGTCACTGGTTTTTTACGGCGGAAGTTTGCTACTGAACATTTCTGTTTTTCTCAGTTACCTGTAATTGGTAAACGACATTTTGGATATGGCATCGTATAACAGGGACAAATTTATAATCTCTGTGACCATTGTTTAAAAAGGCTGGTGAGAACGACTGCAACTAAATATGAGCTCTGCTCGGCTAATTCCCAATCATGACAAAATCTAGCGGCTGAATCTGTTAACAGCGCGTCGCCACTAAGCCATATTTCTGATCTTAGGTAAAATTTCTCATCAAGATTTGATTGCAAAGAAAAAATTTGAGGGTTTTCCAATTCCAAAATAACTGATAGCCTTCACTACTTCATTACAAATGCGCAAATTGGCGACATGTTATTATTTTGTTATGGCCACTAAACTACAGTTTTTCGCCTGTTAGTTGTTTGACTGAGAGCGCCAAAAATCTTTGTGTACGAGGCGACCAATATAACTAGGCAAGAGGATATACCTACAAAGCTGCACCAAATGGCTATACGGAAATTGAGATAAGAGCATATACCAGCGACTAGACATAAAGCCCAAACGATAGCTAAAATAATATACGTGCACCTCAAAGTTACAATCTTTTTGTATCTCAGTCCCAATAACAGGGCGAGAAGTCGGTCCACGCTTATTGCTGTCAACGTCAACAAAGACACTGAACATAATGCATGACTTGATATGACGGTTGCATCCCTTGCGTATCGACAAAAACTCCAGTGTTCGTAAACCACGGACATCCAGTAGGCAGCCTAGAGAGGCTGGTTAACAAGACCAACCAAAAAATCAGTTGTTGCCAGACAACGATACAAGAGTTTGGATGGCGGATAGAGGGAAGATTCCTTATGAAGGGCAACAAGGATAAGAGAATTCCCAAGAGTTGCTGTGATGGACAGGAGAATGTTGACAACCGAGAACGAAATAGACTGAAACACATCTACAGAGACCAATCCTTCAAATGTTTTTGTCTGTGTTCCATTTCCCGTTATATTTGTTGTTGCCATCATCCTGCTGTCGTGTCCACTCTTTTGCAGGTTATCCTTAGTTACAACGAGGAATATTTCGTCTTAACAGCGCCCTCCAAGTCAAGGTCGATTAAACATTAGTTTTTGGATAGCAATTACGGAGCGTAAAAGGTCATCACTAGCGTCTGATAATGTAAAATGCCCGAAAGCAGTGTGATGTGTCGCACGAAAGAGAAAAAAAATTGAATTTTTAATTAGGGCAAAGTAAAACTGCATTTGTGATAAGTTAATTTCCCAGGACAAGGAAAGAAAAAACTTCGCTCAAATAAACCTTCGGTGATAGGATATCGAAAGTCGACCGACAGTCGGTCGTCAATCAAACGATTCTCTGCCTACTCTTTGACCAACGCATCTGTCGACGTGTTGTTTGGATCGGACTCGTTGCTTTATCCTGATAATAGCGTAAATCATTAATTTACGTGATCTTGAGACGCCATAAATTGTTATCAGCTCAGGCAAAACGAGAGAAATAGTCCAATTTCATATCTAAGATAGGTTACGGATGCAAAGTTCTTCTAAAATATTTGAATATTGTTCTCTTCGTGTCGCACTAGTGTTGACTTAGAAACGAAACGGCGACAGGTGTAAGATGTTATGTCGTTAGCCTATCTCTATCTTAACCAACTCATTCATTATTTGCCCACTTCTTTTCTAACCGCAAATTCAGCCGGATTATTTTTTATGGTCACGAGAAAATTATAGGTCAAGAAGCTTGAGGTCCCATTTATCAAATATCTAATTAATAGTGAGGTAAGCCTCTTTTTTCTTGGAAGGGAGACGACTAGGAGACTGATTCCGAGAACACCTTAACAGGCAGTTTTCCACCTTTCCCTACACCAAAGCAGTTCGGAAAGAAGCAAAACTGTAGAACAAAAATTTATCATTCAAATTGGCACTCTTACTTCCCACGGAATCAACGAGCACTTTTCATTTAAATAACCTATTATTGCTTTCTCGTCACCACATTCCCACCAATAGCGTAGCTCCTTTCTTTGTATAGAAACCCCTACACAACGCCCGGGACAAAAATCTTACGTGAGACGTTTACTTTTCAATTTTCTCTGGTACAATTTTATGAACAAACATATCTCTTCTTCTGGAACAACCACAAAACATTCCCTCATCTTGAATAAAGTTACTAACAAAGGCTTCAATTGTACTGGAGGTATAAGTTTTGAAAATTGGGGAATAAGACTAAATGACTCATGACTCATGACTCAGCAAGACAAAGTAAATAAAGGAACACTTTTAAAATTCGTTGGAGTATTTTAGAACATAAGTCTACGATATGTAAAAATCGTGCTCGGAAATAAGTCGATCGATAAATAATTTTGAACTTTAAAACATCACCCACTAAATTTAATTGATTCTCATTTTATCCATGGGATATACCTTCATTTATGACATTTATGACATTTATGATATTTATGGCAACGTCAAATTTTCCATATTATTTACTGATCAAAAATTTACATACAACTTGTTATTCATTCCATGTTATTCGTAACGGCCCTGAGGACGAAAGGGAAACGTTAAACGGCAGGACATAAAGAGATTAGAGCGTAGTAGCTTTTGAACCAAATATTTAAAGCTTTCAATATGCTTATTATTTCTTTCTGTGGGGATGGGGTAAATACGGTATATTGATCGATTGTACCACTCGCGGTAGAGAGAAAATTAACCTCGTACCCAAGTTTCTTCCGCGGCCGTGTCCGGTCTGCTTGTTCAAAGTATAGCCAGAAAGAAGCAAACTTGGAATTCAGGTACAAAACGCTCGTTTCCAGCGAAATGCGCGGGGAGATTTGGTATTGAGACATGTCCCAGAGTGCAATGATCTTAGATCGTAAAATATGGCTGAGAAAAATGCCGATCGGGAGGATTTTCGGTGCACAAACTACCTCCGCATGGACAACGGTCGAAATCGGAGTGTGCAGCCTTGACTTCGTATTTTGACAGGAATAACAGTGATGGTAAAGCAGGCCTAAAACGGAAGAAATCGCCAGAAACTACAACGGACATATAGGATGCGAGTAAGAGTTATTGATTTTACGCGTAAAATATTCATATTTCGAAATATTTACCGTTGTAAATCGACAATATTTCGTTCCCCATGCTATTCCTTATAATGTGTTCAAATTTTCAACGGTTCCTCACGTAACTTAACACCGAGTCACACAACGCGTGACGCGTTCATGAATTAATCGTTGGCTTTTTCTCGAGACGTGAGCTTGGGCCGCCTGTGATGACATGAATAATTTTTTGACCATCTGATGAAATTCAAGCGCGGAAATAATCCTTGCGGTAGTGTAAAATCTTTGTGTACCAGGCGATTGAGATTACTAGAGCTAAACGGTAATTGAGATGAAAGAATAACCAGAGACTAGAGATACAGCCCAAAAGATAGCTGAAACGACATATGTGCGCCTTAAAGTTACAATCTCTTTGTACCTCAGTCCCAACGGCTTGAGGGCAAATTATGATAATGATAAAAAAAACATGCAGATCTCAATTACAAAGAGTCAATGAAATGTCAGGTGTAGACATTTGCTGGTGAAATACATGAAATTAAGCTGTTATCGTTATAAACTGAGATATAACTAAGAAAATGAAGTGTACAATGTAGCATTAACCCAATGGACCGTAGAAAGCAAACCGTCTCATTCACGCGAGGGAAAAACCGCTTTTTTTGTCCCTGCTACCATCAATCATTCGAAGACAGTTTCCAGAATGTCTTCAAGTGACGCAAAGAAAAATCCTGAGCGCGCGCTGATTCCAAAATAATTGATAGCCTTCGCTATTTCATTAGAAATGGGTAAATTGGCGACATGTTATTGTTTTCTTATGGTCACTTAACTGCTATTTTTCACCTCTTAGTTGTTCGTTAGATAATTCGAATACAATGTACCATTTAGAAGTAGCTCTTTTTAGGTTTCCTTACTCTTCTCAACATGATATGGCACATCTTCCCTCTATCCAAACAACTACAATTTTTCAAATGAGCTATACATGAAACAGTACATGCCAACGTCAAAATAGCTCTACCCCTCTGCATTGCAGATTGCTTGCCTGATTGTCTGCTTTACTGCTCGTCTCAATTCACTTATCTTCCAGCAGTAAAGGAACGGGTTTAAAGTAGAGTTAAAGAACAGTAAGACAATTGTCATTCCCTGGATTATAAAGAAATTCGAACATCGCTTTGTACAAAGAGATATCACAATTTTCACCGTAAGTTCTGGTATATAACAGACAACTAAAGCTAACTGCACCCACAATGTACTGTACACTGCCTTTCTGTATCGCGCCATGTTCAGTACATTTGCTTGGCTCGGCTGTTGTCGAGCATGATCTTGTATTTGAGCCTGATGATGACCGAGAGCGCGGAAAATCCTTATGTACGAGGCGATTGAGATTATCAGGCAAGATGGTATAATTATAAAGCTGTACCAAAGGGCTATGCGGTAATTGAGATGAGAGAATAAACCAGCGACTAGACATACAACCCAAACGATAGCTAAAATGATATACGTGCGTCTCAAAGTCACAATCTCTTTGTATCTCAGTCGCAACAACATGGCGAGAAGTCGGTCCACGCTTATGGCTGTCAACGTCAACAAAGACACTCCACATAATGCATAGCTTGCCATGTACCCTGCGTCCCTTGCGTATCGACAAATACTCCAGTGTTCTAGAACCACGGATATACAATATGTAGCATGGAGAGGCTGGCTAACAAGACCAACCAACAGATCTGTTGTTGCCAGGCAACGATACAAGAGTTTGGATGGCGGATTGAGGGAAGATTCCTTGTGAAGGGCAACAAGGATAAGCGAATTCCCGAGAATTGCTGTGATGGAGAGGAGAATGTTGACTACTGAAAATGAAATGAACTTTTGTTTTAACTCACTTACACGAACCGGGGAGCATGACAATATTTCAAATGTTTGCGTATATGTTGCACTTCCCATTATATTTGTTGTCGCCATCATCCTGCTGTCGTTTCCACTTTTTTGCAGGTTATCCTTAATTACAGCGAGGAATATTTCGTCTTAACAGCAACCTTCAAGTCAAGATCAGTTAAGCCTTAGTTTTTGAATAGTAATGACAGAGAGTAAAAATTTATCACAAGCGTCTGACTATGTAAAATGCCTGAAAGCTGTGATGTTTTTCACACGAAAGAGGGAAACAAAGCCGGGTTTTTGTGCGCGAATTTGAATAAGTAGTTGAGGTCAATTTCCCAACGCAAAGGAAAAATATTTTCACTCAAATAAACCTTCAGTAATAGGATATCAAAAGTCGACCGACATGGAGACGCCATGAATTGTTATCAGCTCAGGCAAACTAAAAACAAAACCACAATTTCAGAATTAATGCAGATTACAGATGCATAGTTATTGTAAAAATTACTGAATTTTTGTTCTATTCGTATCGCACCTGTCTGGGCCTAGGAACGAAACGGTGACAAGTGTAAGATGTTACGTCTTTAGCCCTTCTCCATCTTAACTTTTTCATTCATTATTTACCCACTTCTTTTATGGCCGCGAATTCAGCCGAATTATTTCTTGTGGTCATGAGAAAATTATAGGTCAAGAAGTTTGAGGTCCCCTTTTTTCAAATATCTAATTAAGCTTCTTGTTTCTTTAAAGGGAGACGACTAAGTGACGGATTCCGAGAACACCTGCGCGACATAGAAAGAAATGACTAGGACGCATCCAAGCCAGTTAGTCATTTTAATCGCCCTAATCACTCTAAGCAGCATATGGCAACTTCATCTAGGCAGTTTGGAATGCAGCAAAACTGCAGCAGAACAAAAATTTATCTTTCATATCGGCACTCTTAATTCCCACGGTATCAACGAGCGCTTTTCACTTAACTGATTAATTCTTGTTTTCTCGTCAATATACTCCCACCAATAGCGTAGATAAATTGGAGGATTTTGGTTGTTGAGGATAGATAGTCTGTGATTTGATGTCCTGTTTCCAGGGAAATAAAGAATAACCAATTAAGAAAGTTGCCTTCAGATATTTTCAGTAAGAATGAACAATTAAGGAACCTGTAAATGAAGACACTTCTTTATACGTAAAAAAATATGTGTATATATATATATATATATATATGTATTACTCATCCTCTGCCGACCTTAATTATCATCACTCAATAAACGTAGTGAACTCGTGTCCTCATGCCGCCACAGAACCAAAGCATTTAAATTTACTGCCACGCCTGTTATGCAAGTATATAAACGATGGTTACGAATATTGTTAACAATAAAATCCCCTGATGAGTAAGTAATCACGAAACAGGCTTGTAGGGATGAAAGTATAGTCTCTGTTTTTTTTCCTATCTCAATATATATCGCGCTCTTCTTCTACATATCGAGCACTGTACTACGGGAAATTCGAAACATAGACTTCCTCTATATATGTGTGTGTGTAAGCAACATTTGGTAAGATATGGTATATCTTTTTTACAAGTGAATCTAAATCGCTTGACTAAATTTGCCGTCAAAATAAGATTAAAGTTTAATCCATTTTTGTGAATGGGCATTGGTAATAAAAGGAACTCATTCAGCTTTTGTATAGTTAATCACATGATTTCCAGTGCAATGAACAGCAGAAACGCAGTGTGGCAAGTGTAGAGCACTCTATTGGCTGATTTGATATCTGTTTTGTCTTCGTACCTCAATATAAAGCATGCTATAAAAATATACCACCGTTAACGTTTCAGTGAGTCGGCCGAGGTTAATCACAAGATCCACCGCAAATAGAACCTCATGAGAAACTTCAGTGAAAACTAATGCTTGCTATAAGGCAACTTTTGTGACGCTGTCCATCCAAGCGATCACAGTGTACTTCTTTAAGCGTCCTTGTGTGACTAACACTTTGTATTCTGTCCATTTAACTATCGCCACATACCTCTCCCAAGCTATCAGCAATAAATGATGATAGGAGATAGTATATAAAGTGATAAGAAAAGAGACACCGATTTCACTCAGAAAATAGATAATGCTGGTGATACAGTTCCTCGAAGAATAAGCGCATCTACAGCGATTTAAAGTGGCATAGAAACTGCGCCAACTAAAAGATCAGTCACGGCCAAATTAGCAATCAGAATATCAGATTTTTTTTTAGCTCTCCTACTTTCTTGGTCGCTGAGATCACTAACATGTTTAGAGAGATGATCCATGGACAAGCAACGGCTGTTGCGCCAATGGTGAGCTGAAGCGAAAGTGTTTGCTTTAGGTCCCATTCGAACTGCGGTATGCTTGGGCTAAAAAGCACTGATTTGGAGGAACTGTTAAGTGCATCCTCGAAGTTACTTACACTCATTTTGTTAAACTCCAGTTTTATCACCGCGTGTTTTAAGGATTATTGTGCCGAAATTCAAATTTTTTGGGAAATTATCTGTTAGAATTTAATTCCCTTTTGAGAATTCTAATTGATTGTTTTCCTGGAAAATTATCCGTAGTTAGAAGTAAAGATAACATTACTTAAGTATTGCGTTTTCTCAAAGGGAAGAATATCAATGAAATCTGACTCCCTTGTGATGAAAATTCAGGTTCACTGGGTGATGGGGATTGAGGCCGTCAATAAAGAAACGGTGGAAACAACTTAACAAATTAAATTTTTTTTAGCTGTCATATTTTTAAGTAATGAAGAATAAACCTGAGAAAACTAAACGTCTGAGATCTCCCCCATAATATAATCAGGACTAAATAATTATCAGTCGACAGTGGTTAAGCGTGTTATGTACTCTTATTGACAACGATATTCGCTATCATGTGGATTCACGGGGCGCAGCGGTTTTAAAACGTTTCTTTTTGTCAAGTTCGTAGACCTGTTGGAGAAGAACTGCGTCTCGTACTCCGAACTTTCAGTTCCATTTCGTTACGATGGGAGGTTCTCGTCAAATGTGAAAAGTTCACCTCAGTGGTCTGCGTGGCTGTCCGGAATAAGCCAAAGATTAGAATGAACAATTGGGATTCTAAATTTTTTTTCTGTTTTCATCAAGCAAGGAAATCAAAACAGAGAGGGAAAAAATTGCGGTCCATACACATTCTACAGGTTGGCGATCGGCGGTACGTTACTTCGAAGATCTTTTTCCTTCACGAAGATCGCTTTCATTCACTACTTCATCCACAGTTCACATGTATGATTTTCATATATTCACAGTTATCTACTCATTACTTCACGGGTTTATTTGGAACAAATATAATGAACATTTCCCAATTAGCTTGGTTGCTCAGTTGATAGAGCGTTGGTCAGGCCTGAATTTTTTTCTTTTTAAGGCCTTATTTTCACTACTACTCAAATAGTGTTCATTACTGTGAAGATCGCTTTCATTTCAAATCGGCTAAAGATGGCGAAATCAGTCATCTGGGAAATGTACAGACAGCCCCACGAATCAATTCTCAAATACGTTTATGATAAACCTTTTTTAGGCTCTCAGAGTATTTCAAATGAAAGCTGGCAGACCTACGGTAAAACTAAAACAAACACAAACACGAAAAGAAAGAAACCGCAATGTTCCCTAAAAATGTCAAGTTCAGTGTTTGTTTAAGTAAATACGAGTTCTGTATGGCTTCCTGATCAGAAAAAAACGACGTATGAAATTCACTGGGGGATTTCGAATTCTCAACGATAACAGCCGAAAAATAAAAAAAAACAAACAGATAGGTGCTTATTCGATCACGTAGGACTGTGCGGCTCACTTGACAGCTAAATAAAATAACTCGACCTTGTCTCTAAACAGGCTCTTTAATGTGGAAAGAAAAACCTTACACATCCAAAAACTTACATCAAACACTGTAAGTTGTTGATTTAGTCAAGATAAAGATACAAAAATGGGACGCGGTAAAATTTGAAAAGTTTGGAGAGTCTCATTCTACGACAAACAGAAGGAACCTATGCATTCTGTTAAACTATAAAATTTTCCATACTTTGAACGATTCATGAAACGTCTTTGAGCCTATAAAACAATTTTTAAATAATATTAGATAAAAAAGAATACTTTTACTTGTTCTCGAACCCTTCGATGTTTCAGTTGGGTGTGATAACTGCGAAGAAGAACAATGTGACTTTAAGACTGTGCCATCGCTTAATTTAGGTTCGAGGGGCCTAACGACACGTTCCGACGTCGCGATTGGGTCAACAGCTCACTTCACGTGATATCGAGATTTTTCGTGCATATATTTGTTCTTTTTTAGCGACAGAATTTTGCCCTGAAAAAAGCCCTGGCAAATTTAAATTAGTTTGAATATGTATCATAGTATCGAGATGATAGTCGAGGACGGATCGTTTTGTGAGGCTTTCCCGAGGTGAAAAATAATTGTTTCTTTCTAACGAATCAAAAATTGGGTGTCGTTATAACAACCGCTAATCCATAGAGTGAGTCATTTCTAAAACTAGCTGCAGCAAAAGTGTCCTCATCTGGGGTCCACAGTGCTTGAGCTGCCATTTGTATTCCACCATCTCTCACAGCTCCAATGTATACGAGGCAAGCTATTTTCCGCTGGCCGCCTCCGCTCGTTTGCTTCTCGCCATCGCTGCTACCACAAAGTCGAGTAATTATCTTACTTATACTTCTACTCGCTCGATCGCAGCTTGTCGGAGAGTAATCATCCATGGTTAACAGATGTGACCTCAAGACCCCCTCCAAAATTCCCTGCAAGTGAAAATCATCTGGTTTGAAAAAGTCACCCTTGCTATTCTCTTTGCCGTCTGAGTCCCCGCGGAGTCGATTTGTCTTGATGTGACGACCGGATAATGCGAAATTGGTCATAGCATCTGAGGTGGTTAGGTTTTCCAGATTGAAAGCCAGGTCTTGAATCTGGTTTGAGAAGTCGTTAATTATTGTTTCGTATTCATTTACAGAACTTATCTCTTCTTCTTTGCTCGGCACACCAGTTGGATCCGATCCTCGTCTTTCCTTTAGGGCTAAATGTTCGTACGCTTTGCTGAAGGAAGGATACAGCCTTTTGGCCAAACGAGCTTTCTTTCCTGGATCACCTTTAGTCATCTTGTTTTGAACCACGTCAGGATTAGAATTGATATGTTTAGAGCTTGTATTGGAAGCGGCCGCTTTGCTAAATAGATGCAAGGGCGACACTGCCTTTCGTTTCAGTTTGGGACGCAACTTCTTCAAACTTCCCTGTCTTTCGAAATTTTTGTGTGGGTTTTTCTTTCCAGAGACTGTGGGATCTGAAAGTCGTCGCTTTTGGCTGGGGGAAGATTCGTTCGTTTCGGCCGCCGAACTTTGTGATAAGCTTCTTAGAAACATTTTATGATCTCGTCCACTTGCGGGAGAGCTTTGTGGCAAGAGTAAAAGTTCTGTGTCGCTTGTGAATCCTTCAAGTTTGAAATTCTTAACCCGTTCCTTTTCCAACTCACTTTTTCCAAAGTTCTTGTCGATCGAGAACCAGTTTGTTTGTTTGTGATTGTGGCCGCTTTCTGTATACATTTTCTCTAGACTGGCCGGATCTTCAGACACCTTAGAGTTACTGGTTGAAGATTCAATCGCCGGACCAGAGGAGAATGTCAAAACTGGTGTTTTCTTCAAATAGAGGTGAATTTCTTCACCATCATCGAAACGTGAGGGATTTCTCGCCTCTTCCCGCTGATGTTCGTGTTCGGTCGTCATAACTCTTTTGCTTTCAGTCAGTTATGTTTGCAAATCGTGAAGACGCTTCGTAAACAACAGAGTTAATTACAAAGAGAAAACAATGGCTTGTCCAAATCACTTTATCTCAGCTTTAAGAGCTTTGTTAGCTTCTGTCGTTAAGTGTATGGAATCTTTGCTCTAGCAATTTGCAGCTTCGAAACTGAAAGCCAACAGCGATTTGAAAAAAAAATCTATCATCGAGGTAATTTAGACTCCAATGCAAAAACATCTCTGAGAAGATGATTCCTTTTCTTCTTGTCGAGATTATGTATTCATTTTGAGTAACCCAATTGATAATTAATTGAAAATTCATTCCAGCGTGAAATTAGAAACACGGTTTCTCGTAAGTAATTTCTTTAATCTAGAAATCCGCAGGAACATTCGCATCTCTAAGAGACAATAACAACTGCCTAGAAAACTTCTCTTGTTCGGCCAAGTCTTTGACACGGAAAGTGGAGTTTCAAAACTTCAAGTCGTCAAATTCATCTTTCCAAAAATATTCATTAATATCCTCGAATTAATTTTATTATGTTGTCTCCTATTACACTGTGCTCGCCTAAAGCAGAACTCCGTCAATCGACATCGAAGTCCTTTTCGATATCGAACGGTTAAAATACCCGCTTCCGCCGGCATTGCTTGAATTATGTATTAGCAATAAGATTATTTTAAAAACACTAACGGAATAAATCGGATTGCGTGTAATTTCCACATGTTTTTTGTCATGTATTAAAACAAGTCAGCCCTGAGCGATTAAATTATAAAGTAATCAGTTGATTCTATTTTAAAAAGCGTAGTCATCGAAGCAAATACGTCAACTATAAAAAAGAGAGCAGTTATTAATGAATCAATTGTGTTTCCTATCAGTGGGATACTGCAAGACATCTGAATTGCGGCCAAAAACACATAAACATGACCGTAATAAGACAATTAGTCACTTAGAAAATAAAAGTACCATTGAAACGGAAAGAAAGTGTTTCTGTTCAGGAACTTACTTAGTAAGAAACTCAGTATACTGCCAACTGGATTTTATCGAACCCATGGCCCCGGTTTCCCTGATAAGTTGATTACGGACCTCTACGCTTTGGCTTTTTTTAGCGGAAAAATGTAATGCTTACAACTAGTATATGATGTAAAGGTTATGCTTAACTGAAACGGCAGAAGTAAATATGATATGTTTTAATAAAGGAGAAACATTTAAAGAAACTTAATTCCTACTTCGGTTGGGGGTATACAACGAGATTATTTGGTTTTATCAACTGAGTTGATAAAGTAAACTGATCACCGTAAAGAGTTTAATTAAGCTGACTTTTCGAGCGTTAGGTTTTCGTAAGAACTAAAGGCGAAGGGTTCAACGCTCAAAACATTAGCTTTAGAAACTCTTAGTGGTGGCCAATTGTTTAGGGTTAATGAATTTGATATATTTTACACACTGGGGATTTTTGGTGTGAATTTGTCCTATCACCAGATTGAGGCTGCCTGCTATGCCGCCCGGCTGGATAACATGAGAGCGAGGTTGACCAAAGATGGCCGCCAGAGAATTAAATATCGAGATAATAAGAGGTCTTTCTGACGAGATTGGAAGTTTCTACGAAAAACCGAGTCCAAATATTGGACGTCCTTGCCATCTGAAGCGGTTTCTGAGAAGCTTGCGGTCCAGGATTTGTTTAAAGAGTTGAACCGATTGAAAGAAGATTCCTTAAAGTCCTACTCACGGAGATCTGATCGAGATAAACTAACAGTGTCTTCCTGTAATTTGGACGACATGGCCTGCCGCGAGCTTGACAACTGGAAAAGGTCTATTATTAGAAGGGAATTTTTTGTGGCCAAACATTCCAATCCATGGATTGTAGAATTCAGTTACAGACTTCATAAGGAGATATTCGATCATTTAGTGGAAATCCTCACTTGCACATCTATGTATGGAGTAAACATCCAAAATCATCTAAAGAGAAACGGCGAAGTAAAAAAGAAAAAGTCATTAAAGTATCTCACAAAAGAAAGCTGGAGCGATGGTTTTCAGAGGGACAAATGACTGGAGAGGTGGGGTTTAAAAGAAGCATTAAAGGCAAGGGACACACTGATCTTCTTGTGGATGCCAATAGGCCTTTCCAGCTTAAGTACATTTACTCCACAGAAATGGTTCAAATTAAGTGTCATTATGGTGTCTGGAATGAAGAAGGAGTTCCTCAGTTTATTTGAAATCGATGAACGTTCTGTAGCTTCTTTTAGTTCCTGTTGTGTTTAACAAAGATTATTATATTGAGGACTAGAAGACACAAACAAAAAAAAACAGTACAAACAAACATGATTGTTCAATTCCCTTTGTGTCCTTTAAGCCTCACTGCCAAGCTGAATTTAATATATCGAAGGGGTCTACTGCAATGGCCAATTTGTGTATTTTGTGATCAAGAGTAGATGTAACTTTTCTTTTAGGGGTATGTACATGTATAACACAAAATAATAGCACTTATGGTCCATGTGGAATGTAATTTTAATGAACTAACAAGAACATTATAACCTTAAACACCAAAACATTACAGCTTTTGTTATAAATGAACTCTCCTCAGAAAAACATCTTACTATCTCAATATTTAATTGTCTAGCCACCACCTTTGAACACCCTTAATCTGATGTTATCCAGCCAAGCTTCACAGAAACTTTTCATTTTTGAGCTTCAGCAAGAATTTGTTTCATCTTTACTGTTAGTTTCCCTGCTGAACCACAAGCAATAATTTCTTTTGAAATTTCACATGAGCAGTACATGCATGCACTTGCAGTGCTTAAAGGCATACCACATGAACAATATCCTGCAGTGCTGCACCGCTTTGGCACATATGTGTCTTTTTACATTTCTTATAGGTATCATGAAATGGATTCTGTTGCCTTATCCAAATGTTGGACATGTGCTCATGTCTAAACACTTTAGCCCATCTGTGTTTTACAAGGGAAAAACTAGCAAACGAAGCAAGTTGCTGGTGTTTAGACTCTCTTCCCTGCATTGAATTAATTCCTGAACCCACACCAAGATCTTCAAAAAGCTGTTTAGTATGAAATGGCACACAGTAGCCCATTGCCCAAACACTGAGATTTGCAGAGTGAAATAATGATGTTAGATTAAAATATTGTGTGCAATCCTGCTCTAACTTTGGTAGATCACTGTAACTAATATTGGAGACCCTACTAGCAAGGGACAAGCTGTTCCTTAGGTGAAGACCCATTCTCCCAAGAGATAACACAAAAAGCTCTTGGCTTGCTCAATGTCACCCTCCTCAATTTGAGCTTCAACAAGATACATAAAGCCATCACAAAATTTCTTAGTTTCCTCCCCAGTGAACCGAAATTCAAAAGGAGATGTCTTTCGTTTCTCTTTAAACCATTGCAAAATCTTATTATACATCTTCTTGCACTTTAATTTAAACCGAGAGCCTTCAAATGCTTACGCAATGAGTTATCTTCTGGCAATTGAAAAACAGACTTTGTACTGGTGGGAATCTTTGCTTTAGCCAAAACATGGGTGAAAAGCAACTTATGCCAATGCCCCCAACAATTATTTCCCACATGAAGATTATCACATTTTGCATTTTGAATAACTGGACCAAGAATTGGCTCAAATTCTTGTCTAGATTTAAGGCTTGCTATGTGGTTGCATACTTTGGTACGCAATGTCTGCTCTTGAGCAGCATTAATTGGCCTTGCCTGTTTTTCTTTAAATTGTGTCACCTTTTTGGCAACTTCTTCCCTGAATTTATATTCCCATGGCCTCCACTTACTTTGAGGATTGTTACTCAAGCTTTGCCCTCTTTCCTGTAATTCACTAAGTTGCACATTTGCAAAAGAACATGGGTATTTAGCAGCATTGCTCAGTTCTCCAGAAAATTTTGCTAGCCACTTCATATCTGATGGAACAAGTTTAAATTCAAACTTAACCTGCTGATTTTTTACTGAAAAAGTTTGACTTGCAATCGTGGCCATCTCTGATCTAAGTTGTTTCCCATATTCTACCATGGCAGGGTGATCTTCTTTACAGTTGGCACCACAAATCAAAAAATTATCATCTGGTGAGGCAACTCTTTCTGAAACATTCAAAAATGAAACAAGCCATGCACAAGCCTCATTAGCCTTACCAAAAGGGGCACCATCTGCACCCATTGCTACTAAAAAATGACCCTTCTGTTTACCAAACCATGTAAGAAAATTAGGTATATGGCTATCTATGTGAAGGTAGAGGTCTGCCATTTGGAGTAAACGCTCTTTAAGGTCAATATAATACCCAGGGATCACTGGCAGTAAGTTGCCATCAACTTCTTCGTTTTCCTTTTCTACGTCACTCTCAGCAGTAGCCTGCGGTATGCTATGAAGTTTTCCAATATCTTGTACCTCTATAAATTTCATCAGCTCCTTGTAAGGTACAAGTGCAGGTAATCTACAACCCTCTTTAAACTCTGTGCGCTTTCGCTTTTTGTTGGGATGTCATAATCAAAGACTTCTGAAGATCTTATATTACAATATTTTCTCTTAAAGAATTCCACCCTGTATAGCACACTTACAGACCTGAGAAAATTTGTTGAGGACTTTTCAAATTTAGCTACAGATTTAGCCACAATCTGTGGGACAACTGTTTTACAAACAGTTTTTGACTTTTTCAGTACATCAATGACTACTTTAGTTTTACAGTTTTTTTAACCAAGGTGCTCCAAAGTCCATTGGCAGTTGCACATTGACCTTCAGGTTCTGTACTTGGCGTAGAGTGAACTTTCTTGGCACAATCATACGTAAGCTTTCTTCTCTTAGCTGAAATGTTGTGTGACAAACCAACACACTTGTCACTGTTGTTTTCATCTAGAGTGGTCGGTGTTACAACATGTTGTCCTCTTGGCAGGTGCACTATTTCATTTTCTAATAACCCTCGCTATAGAGAGAGAAAAAAAAAGCAAGAGGTGAAAATGTGATTTTAAAATTGTAAACACTAAAATAATAAATTGATTATGTCATTTAAAACACCAAAATACTGATTTGCTATAATTATGGCTCTGCACAAATTTTGTGCACAAGTGCATTGCTACATGTAGTTTGTTTTATTACAAAATCGATCTCTAAGAAATTACTCATAAATATTTTGAAAACAAATTTGTTCACCATCTTATTCATTAATCATGATATTTATCAGCATGCAATATCATATTTGTAAAACAAATAATTGAACAGGTGGCTCCCTAAAACTATTTTACACTTCTAATCTTGATATTTTGCATTTTAAATCGAAAAGTCTCCTTCGATGAAAATAATCTGAGTATCAGTAGGTAATCACAAAACCAAAGATCGATTATTTTCACAACATTACGTACCTTTCTCTTTAGCTCTGTAATTTTTCCCTCCAAGTCTTGAATAGACTTATTCGCTTCAACTAAAACCTGTCGTTTCTCCTTCCTTTGCCGTGCCCACTCTCCAATGGGAAAACGTGAGGTCCCCGACATCTCGCCGGTGTAACTTTGGTAAAACAAGAACAATGTCAGCCAAATTTTCCGTGTAAATAGTCAATACAACAGGCTAAAATCCTATCGATTTCATTTAGCGTAAATCAACTCTAAAAGCGGTAAAATTAACCTCAAACACAGCCAAAAATCTCCAAAAAGTCATACTAATCATCTTCTACTTTTAGATAAAGAGAAAAAATCGAACACGTCTCTAAAATAGTCGAATTTGGTATCAAATTAAAGCTTACCTTGTTGTTTTGCAAATGGCGGACAACACAAACCTGGTGGGAGTCACATGTAGGTACCAGATCTCTTCAAAGTCCAGTGTTGAATGGTCCTGTGCGCTACCCACAAATCTTTGCGCGCGTGACCAAAAACAGGTGGGGTGGTCAAAAAAATGTCAAAAATCCCCAGTGTGTTAAGCTTTGTGACTGAAGTGAAAGATTTTGTGTTTAGTGAGTGACAGAGGTTTCTCCCCTGCTTGTTTGTTTTAGGGTCAAACCTATGGCATTAAGCTATACTATATTGGCCATATTCCTTACAAAACGTAAGGGAGTGAAAATTTAAGAGGCAGGGGTCAAGAAAATCACTTATCTCCAAACTGGCTTTTTTGGGGGGGGGATGGGGGGGAGGGGGGGGGGAACGGCGCCGCTGTCTGAGAGGACCGGTAAGCTAACACAGCGGTCGAATGTCAAGCATATGCATAAGGACTGATTTTGCTGAGTGGCGCGCTATTTTCTCACGGAAAAATTACAAAATTTCGATGCAAACAAATCGATATGTTAATAGAAATTTGCACAAGGAAACAAAAATAGGAAAAGGTTACACGACACAATCCTATTAGTAGACTTATTAATACGTTCTCAAATCATGGACTTGCGCATATCTTGCGTAAAAAAAAAAAACAAAACAAAACAAAAAAAAAAAAAAAAAAATAGACGATCGCATTCTATAGGCTGTCTGGTGTGAGTGACGTACACAGTTAGCATATGCTGGGAAAAACTCATAGGTCGAACCGAGAAGATTTACTTTACTTTCAATCAAGTCTTTAAAGGAAAAAGTTTGAGGTAAGTACTGACTTTGAAAACAAACTATTCACTACCATTAATTCACTATTGTTGCCGCCTCGTTGGTTTGGCTTCTAGATCAGAATGTTGTATTTCAAAACTGGTCCAGCTCTTGATTATGTTCTGGGTGAAGTAAAAATAATAACTTAGCAGCGACGTTTGTGTCATGAATGATAAAAACTAAAACAGCGTGGTCGGTTTTAAATCTCCAAATTATTTAGAACTACAAATTGCTGACTGAATCGATCCATTAACTCGAGTTTAACGCGGACTGGAAGAGATGATTTCTTTCATTAAAGCTGCCCTATGAGAACATTAAAATCTGATATCCTCTGAGTTAGCTGTAACGCTACGCTCTCACACCAACTTACTGCGGTACATTTCAAACCGTATTGTGGAAAAATTGCACACCGATTGTCTTCGACCAAAATGTAGAGAACTTGGCTTTCCTACCGCTGAGGGAAATATAAAGAGATACGTGTAGCCAGTTTACGCGACTTTTTAAACGCTTCCTCGAGTACATGCACATCAGCATTTCGGTTTTGTAGTTCAAACCTTTTTTTTTTTTTTTTAACTCGATGATGGGATTGAATTTGCAAGAATGTAACCAAATTTACTTTATTTTACAGCGAAAGAAAGTTCCTAGTATTCATTGCTTTTGAACAGTTGGATTTTAATCAAAAGATTGCAGTACCTTTAATTGAAGGCTTTTTCTTGAAACGGTAAGCTATCTGTACGTGATGAATAACTCTTGGTAAATATTTCATTTTCCAACGTGTGTGATTTTCATGCACCGAAAACAAAGTAGCCAAATGAGAAAAATGGATTGCACGGTTGGTCAGTAGCTCGCTCCAAGACAACAAATTATAAGCTACAAGTCACACCAATGGTCATGCCAGTTTCTTTTGAGTTTGCACGTCCTTTTTCATCGGCCAAGCAACCTTCAGTTCCGGAAGATTATCTGAATTGTGATGGAAATTCTATCACCTTTGTCATCATATATTAAAAAAAAAAAAAAAAAAAAAAAAAAAAAGCCCACAGACTTTTCCTGTTCAGGCCAAGTTTTTCTTCAACTTTTTCGAAACTCAGAAACTTGTTGGAGAACGAATGATACCTGGCATCTTATCAAAAATATCATCAAAGACCGAGTAATGTCTCTTTTTGTTGTTGTTGTTGTTTGATTTCTCGGAATTTGCCTGAAAGTTTCAGTTTCCTGAGCAATTAATTTAAAGCTTGACAAGCAGCGTATTTAGACTAATGGATTTATAGAAGTACAAAAGAAAAAAAAATACCTGAAAAAAAATTACGGACGTAAAAAACATCCTCAAGTAACTTTCATAACTTGTGCGGGTGGGCAGGATATTTTAATTGGATTACAGGAGGTAAAGTTTTAATAACAGCGTGGTAGATTAAGGGGGAGAAGGAAGGGGGTTACAACAACCCAAAGACCCTCCTTGGGTACCCTTCCGAGAAGGACACTCCTTCGCTGCCAAATTGAGAAAACTGGAAATTTCTGAAAATAACCATTGATAAATCGCAAGAAATAATCTCAAGAAAATCAATAAGGGCTGGTGTATTTTATCTAAACAGATACAGCATGAACGAGAAGGGATAAACATATTTCACAAAATTGGAAACGATTTCAAAAATATATCTTCATCAGCAAAGTGTAGATTTAAAAGGGCGAAAACCCTAGTTCTCACATGATGTCATAAAATCCAAGATCAAAAATAGTAGGGAATACAAGACAAGTGTTTTCTTGTCTTACCCTCGGAAGGGTAATGAAGGCCACTACTGCATTGGCCTTGATTACCCTTCAGAGGGTATATTTGACATAAGAAAATAAAATGACTGGTCGAGGAAAGATTCACGACTATGAAGAGTTTATGGTGTCGAGTAATTAAAATAACATCTGGGTACGTGATCATTTTCGTTTCGAAACATTACAAAAGATTTATATTTCACGTCATGATCGCTCTAATTAAACACACTGAAAGTAAACGAAATTAGCGTTTTTTCAAATAAGTCCTGTACCTTTTCTTTTTTACGAAATTTTGGCGAAAAAAATATTGACTTCGCGATACAAGTTCAGCAAGTTGTTACTATATGAGTGGTCTACAATTACGCAATTATTCGGCTTCAAACCGATTCATTAACTTATGGCGAGACAAAAAGCGATTATGACAACTTTGATAAATTCCAGACTTATCACCATGCAACAAAGTTTTTCGTCTTCAGAAAGATAAAATCAGAAGATTTTAGCCAAGTTCCTTGGTTCTTACCGAAACGAGAAGTGGTTTTTCAAGCTTCAAAAGGTGGTTTAATACTGACGCTTTTAAGAGTAAATGTCAGTAAAAATCAAGGAAAATTCAAAAAACGTGGCCACGGTCAAAAATCGATTTCGCTCATACTTTGTCAGTTTGAAGGCCTAGGTAAGTAACTGAAGGATATGAGGTTAGTTTTTTGAAATATTCCATATAACGGCAGAAAACCACGAAAAACGGTCACCCTACAGGAAGCTCGGATTTCACCTGGCGGAAACTCGAAATTTTACACTTTTCAGCTTCTCGCTACACAGACGTTTACATAGCTGTGAATCTTTCTTAAGTATAATTGAATACATTGATTCTTCCTTAGTCAAACCATGGGAATTATTTTTATCTCTGCTTATTTGTGAGCGAACTGAGACCCGATTAAGAAGACACACTTTTCTCATTTACGCGAAGGTGTAAAATAATCCAAACTCAGCGACGAAAAAAGCTGACCGGTAGTTCTTCAAATCCTCTGATATTATAACCAAAGACAGCTCAGTCATTGATTTTTAGGTCTACGGTTTTAAATCTTTAGGATC